CTTCCACCTTTCTTTATGGTGTACCATCAGTGGACCATCTTAGCCAAGGCAGCATGAAGGTGTGTTCACATGTGCTGGCTCTGCTCGAAGAGGCTTCTGGTGGAAGGCTGGAGAGAGAGGTGATGAGGGTGTCATTTTCCCCTGGCCAGCCCTGTTTCTGCCCAGTGTGCTGAGCTCACATAAAAGAGCCCTTTTCCCTAAACCAATAATATGCTAGAAGTCTGCTGATGAGCCCAGTGTAAGCAAAATATTCTGGATCAACTGATAGTCCAAGCATACCTATTCATCTGGAGGGATGGGAAAGGGCTCTGTGAAGTGTGGCCTGGAGCTGGCAAAATGTAAATGGCATCATTTTCCTTTAATTTGGTCTGTAATGCAATGCCCACTCACCTTTCCCGCCATGTCAAACCATATGAAACAAATGTACCCAAGGTTTCCCAAGCACTTCTGATGACCCAAGGTCCTGTCCATACATTGAAGTCATATCTACTTTTGTCCAGCTGCCTCCAAAGGATAATGATGCAAAAAGCATCAACAGCAGCATAAACACAGCTGTGCATTCGTTCAGTCCAGCCCTGTGCTTAGTTCAAACACAGTGTGATGTGACTAAGGCTCCAAGCATCTTCCCTTACCACATGCCCCAAACATTAGCTCCCTTCAGCAAGCTTTGGCACAAAGGATTACCAATGTTTACCCTGTAGTCGTTTTAATTACTGTGGTGTCCTCAGAGCAAGGGGAGGCCCTTGGCAGGAAACAGGAAGAAAATGGCAGAAAAAAAGTGGGAGGGACTGTAGGATCACCATTCATTTCAACAAAAGTATCTCTGTTTTTATTTACTTGCCTCTTAAGCTAAAGTACATTAAAAGCCACTGGTCTTGGATATTATGACCTTACGAGCTCCTGTACAAAATTATCCTTGAGAAGATTGTAATGAATCAAGCGTCAGCCATTACCACATGAAAAGGTTGCCCACAAGGAGAAGTAAGTTTGAGGGGAGAGAAGTTGGAGCAGAACACACAGGGCCATTGTAGAGAACTACAAAGGAGGCTCCCAGAAGTCAAGGGATGCTAGGGACTGACAGGTAGTGACAAATGTTCCTTATTTTATAAGCAAAAGAAGCCAGAGAAAGGTAAATACTGCATGTTATCACTTATATGGAGAATATTTTTTAAAAACTCAAATTCAGAATCAAGAGAGTAGAAGGTGGTTGCCAGAGGCTGGGAGGTGGGGAATGGGGAGATGTAAGTTAAAGGGTGCAGAGTTTCAGTTGTAAGATGAGTAGGTTCTGTGGGTAGAATGGACAGCAGGTGCCTAGCACTATAATGCTAACATCTTAGGTCTTAAGCATTTGCAGAAAGAGAGGGAAAGAGGGAGGAAAGTAACAATGTGAGGGATGGGGTATATTAAATTGACTGTGGTAGTTAAATCCTATCATTGTGCCCCACACTAGCTCTCTTTGGTAGGGAAAGGATTGTCAGAGTTTATCCTGTAGTCATTTTGCTTACTGTGGTGTTCTTTGAGCAAGGGGAGGCCCTTGGCAGGAAATAGGAAAAGGCAGGAGAGAAGTGGGAGGGACTGTAGGAGCACCACCCTGTTTTAAGGAGAACAGCTCTGTTTTTACTTATTTGCCTCTTAAGCTGAAATGTGTGAAAAACCACTGCCATATCAAATCATTGCACTGTACACTTTGAAAATATATGATTTTACCTGTCAGTTACAACTCAGTAAAGCTGAAAATAAAACGAGACAAACAAAAACGTCTCCCTGCTTTAACAGGTGGCCTAGGCTAGCCCTGGTCACTCTGAGTAACAGCCGTCTGTCAGGGAAGGCTCAGACATTGTTATAAGGTAGAGTTTTTAAGTGGAGGTTCAAATAAGGATTCTGTAGAAATACAATGATGGGAAAATACGTCCAGTGTATTTTCTTAAATGAAAACACTTTTTAATTAATGCCTATGTACAACATAAATACATCCATATAAAATATTCCAAGATGTAACTACACCTTAAGCAAAAGGATTGTGAGTTTTTAAGGTATGTTTTCAAAAAGAAATTTTTAAATGGGCATATATTAGGTGTGCATCTTTTTTTTAAGTTTAAAAAAATATGAAAAATGTGAGAGGGACTGCATCAAACTAAAATGTGTTTGCACAGACAAAGAAATAATCAACAAAATGAAGAAGCAGTCTATGGATTGATAGAAAATATTCACAAATCATATAAATCATAAGGGATTAATATCCAAAACACATAAGAAACATACAACTCAATAGCTAATTAAATGAATAAACAAACAAGTAGGCAAAGGATCTGAACAGACATTTTGGCAAGGAAAATATAAAAACATCCAACAGATATATGAAAGGGTACTCAACATCACTAATCAACAGAGAAATGCAAATCAAGATTGCAGTAAGATATCACCTCACACCCATTAGGTAGCTATTATCAAACAGACAGGACATAGCAGGTATTGGCAAGGGTACACTATTGATATGTAAATTGATACAGCTCTTATAAACAACAATATGGAAGTTCCTCAAAAAATTTAAAACAAACTATCATGTAAGCCAATGATCCCACCAGTGAGTATACACCCGAAAGAAATGAAATCAGCACTCTACAGAGATATCTGTGCTCTCACGTTCATTAACGATGGAAACTTTTACTTCAGAAAAAGATTCTGCTAATAACTGAAGCCATGAATGAATTTTATGAAGCTATTTCCAGAACCCTTAAGGGTTGATCTGTCTAGACAATTACTGAAAATTGCAGATAACCAGAGAAAAACAGAAAACCTGTTTTAGTACCTCCTGATGAAAGAATGGGAGTCACTGAGCTGATGAAGAATTTGTTCCAAAAATCAAAACCAAAACAAAGTATAGTTTATTGTGAACTGTGATAAAATGGCACCACAAGGATGTTAGGGACTGGGAGACTGCAGGATGACTGACTCAGTTCTTTACTAGAAAACCAAGCAAAGATGTGAGAATCTACAGGTAAAAGATAAAAAGATTAAGTGTTAGTCATATCAACCAGGTCAAACACATGGACTTGGGTATCTCATTTAAGCCAACAAGCAAAAATAAAAATGCAAGATAATCAAGGAACAAATAAACAAAAACAAAAAGAAGATAGGGCAGCAGCAGGGAAGGGAAGCCGGCCAGACCCTTTCCCAGGCCAGATGGAAGGCCCTTCTTCCTTACAGGAACCTCTTGGCCCCAACACAGCCATGCTTGTGGTTTCTGCTGCCCCCATGTGGCCAAGGGAAGGCCTGACAGAAAAATCCCAAAACAAAAGAAATCCTGGACACACACTCCTATACCAACTTTCATAGATTCCTCTTCCCCTTCTCCCCAATTCATAGCCAAGATTTTCCCACTTATTGAAATTGGGCTTCCACAGCAGTAGGTGTCAAGGTGGGGTGCCAGGAACTCCTATCTGCACAGAATGTTAAAAAAAATATGGCTATGGACCCTGGCTACGCAGAAGGATCCAGAGAAGCAGAAACACCTCTGGAAATGCCCTCTGATGTAGTGAACGTGGACAAAGAGGAGATAAAGCCTCAGGAGACTGATGGTCAAAGGCAAGCAGAAAAGCTAGAATCCTACACTGACATCTGAGACCAAGGCATACCCTATGGGCAGTGCTCTTCCCCCAGGAAGCCTGTCTGCAGAGCACTCAGGTGAACTGCACCTGAGCAGAGGTTTCCACATAAGCAGAGGGACATGGACTGGGTTCCCAAAGTGCAATATTCCCACCAGTGGTAACTCAAGTACACTAGTCTGCTGTTTGAACAACAAACCATGGATCTTTACGAAATGAGCAGTAGATGCAATGTTATTGTCAAAAACACACAAAGAGACTTAACCAGATCCCTTAACCTTTGTTATTAGGCATTAATTCTGAGCTCTAAAATGGTTGATATTTTCTTACCTCCCCGCCCCCCACCAACTCTTTTTCTCTGCTTGACTTGTCAGACCTATAACACTAAGAGTGCCAGAATTCTGCGACTAACCAATTCTTTCATTTTCAGAGCACTATTTGTACACACAAACACACATTCTGGATGCAATGTCACAAAACTCCATGGCAATCAGTTTCTTCAACCTCTTGTGTATGAGCCAGAGTTAAATCTCATTATGTTCTTCCCATATTGAGACTGCTAAGTTTAAATGCAGTTCTAGCCTCTGCTGCCCACCTTTGAGCAAATCACCTCGTTTTTCTGAGTCTCAACTACCTTTTCTATATAACCGGGACAATCATGGTACCACCTCATAGGGCTCAGCGAGTTAATATCTGTAAAGTGCCTAAAACTGTGCCTGGCACAAGTCTAAAAAAATTCATTCATTCAGTCCCATGGTTAAGTTTTTCAAAAGGGGCTTGAAATATAATTCATTAAGTAATTTTTAAAAATTTGGAAAGCATTATTTTTTTCTCTCTTTTTAACTAAGAAACATGATTTATAACCAAAATTAAATGACATTGAAATGGCCAGTGTCTCCTTGTCCACTTCTGAAGTGGAGTGCCATTTTCAAGAGTTGGACTTACCGACTTTATTCTGCACTTCTTGAACTTGTGTGTGTGTGTGTGTGTGTGTGTGTTGTGTGGTACTGGTAATTGAACCCAGAGCTCCATGCATGCTAGGCAATTACTCTACCACTGGAGCCATGTCACAATACTGCTTTTTATTTTTTTAACTTCCTTATAATAGTCCTTGTCATAATCAGTCTCCTCATCAATCCTTTATGTTTTAGGAAAAGTAAAGAACACATGTGTGTGCCCATGTGCATGTACATATGAAAGTGTGTGTGTGTGTGCACATGGTGGGGCACATGTAGCAGTAGGTGGAACATAGCAGCTCTGAGCACCCTGGTACAACCACATTTTCAGTGGGATGCTCTCCACTTTCCATCCCTCTCTGGTCCTGGATTCTGTCCCCTCCTCCCCACTTTCCATTGACTAATGAGACTGACTGGCTCTCATTATGGCCACACTTACCTATTGGTGTTCTCCAGAATCTCCACTTTCTTCCGAAGCTCCAGGTTCTCAGTTGAACAAGACTCCACTCTTCAAAGGAGAGGAAAAGAAGAGAATCAGTTTTTCTCCATAGAACAAATGCTCAACCAGGAGCTTGGGTGGAGGAAGGTTGGATCAGGGAAAGAAGATGAGAGGTGAGAGGAAGAGCTTGGCCAGACTGAGTTGGGGAGAAGGGTGAAGACATAAAAAAAATAGAGGGAGCTGGATAGCAACAGTCTCAATAAGGAAAGGGGAGTAGGGATGGTATGACACACGAAGCTTGTTTAGGGTGTTATGACCTGTTTCCTCTCAGCTCTTCCCTTCTATTCTCATGCTTCTCTTCTGTACTACAGAGATCTGGAGCCAGAAGCACTGATATAAAGCCCATGGGGCTTGGTAGAGGACAAGAAAGAGAACAAGGACCAAAAAAAGTAGTGGTTTGCTGGAGTTCACACGCCTAAAAGAGGCAGGAAAGAGGTTTTCGTAAAAATATCTTGGCCCTGGATGCCTTTAGAAGTGCTGGAAAGGAATGGGGCTACCTTAATGCTAAATCACCAATTCTAAGCCTGGTGATAGACATACTAGCTTTCTAAGGAGCTTCTAGAACCAGCCGGGACCCATCCACCATTCCTTTCCCCTGACATACAAAAAGACTTATTTCTAGGTCCAGGGCCTCCTTCCCATCTTAAAATCCTATTAGCTTGTCATGTGGAGAACTATTTTCTTGGGCTAATAAAAATTATATTGAGTTCATAGTTTTCTAACAGCCCTCCTGACATTCCAGCCTTTTCAAAAGAACAGAGTGTCTTCAAGTGTTTCGGCAAAATGTCACTAGCCTACAGTATGAATTAAAGCAGGCAGAAAATAAAGAACCACAACCTGACTCGAGTGTGTGCTTTTTCTAGGCATGAGGGAGCATGGCCGATGGGAACCAGTTAAACAGCGCCCATGCATTTCCTCTGAAGAGTTCCGAGATGTCAATATTTGCACTTGCTTGAAAGGAAGCCTCCAAAGTACCAGGGATCTTGGCTGGTTCAAATGCTTACTAACAGAGTAAGTGTACTTTTTACTTCTTGCCTTGGTTTTAGACATCCTCTCTAAATGACCACTAGGTGGCAGGCACAACACAGCTGACCCATCAGCTGTGGGCCTGGAACAGGGTCAGGAGGAGGAACTCAGCTACTTCTCACAAACTTAGCACACTCAAGTTACTTTGTGAGCACTGCCCAATCAACTGGACCGTTCATCCACAGACTTACTTTTTCTCCAGGCTGTCCATGTATTCTTTCTTCTTTCTCCTACTCTCCTGAGCAGAAATCTGAGGAACAGGAAGGGAGATGAATGAATTTCCAGCTCTGTAAGTAAACCAGTTATGTGGGAATGGAAGACAGGAGGCAGCACAGTGAGCCTGCTCACTTTTGCTTAAGCCATCTCCTATTTGCTTAGCTTGTCAGTTTATCTAGCAATCCTGGGTTCTGTCCCTGGCTCTATCAGCTGTGCTCCAATGGACTTGCCCAACAAACTGAGCCCCAGAGGAAAGGGCACTGCCAGAAGTCAGAACAAATTGTAGGTCACAAACTAGAGATATGACCTCAGATAAGTGATGTCAGCTCTCTGGACCTTGGGTGGCTCAATTATATATAAAATAAGCCAGCTGGGCTTGAACCTGTATAAGACCCCTGCAGGTTCTACACATGGGTGAAGAGGAATCAATCTCTCTCTCTCTCTCTCTCTCTCTCTCTCTCTCTCTCTCTCCCCCCTGCCTTCTTCACTTCCTTTCTCCTGCTCTCCTCTGCTTTGGCCATGGCCCTGGGCCTCACCAGCCTTGCTCAGTCTTGGAGGGCCCAGGACTAGGCAATGGCTGAGCTAAGCCCAGACAGATAAGAAAGAGGACTGCAGAATTTTGTTTACATCACAAATCAGAATCATGAAAAAGAAATTTTTAAGCAAACACCCCAAATGAATTTATATTTATTTATAAATTACATACCTGTCTACTAGAGAAAAAATATTATGTACATCATAAATGTAATGTTTAAAAGGCTGAAGTTTTAAAAAATAAATGTAAATGGAAGTTCTGATATCTTCTCCCCCCCCCATCCCCAATGGGTCATTAGGCAACAAGAAGTGTGAACACTGATTTGGGAGTCTGGGTGGAAGGGCCTGGGGTAGGGGTGCAGCAAGCTCCTCCCCCACCCTAGGGAAGGGAAGGGCTGAGCTTGAGGTCCCACCATGCACAGGCCAGTGTTGGCCCTTGCGAAGGGAGGAAGGGCCTTCAGTCTGGATTCTTCTGCTCACTGTGTCACTCACCAAAGTGCCTCCAAGAATAAGTAGTTACCTTGTTCTTGATTTTTCTCCGGATTTTCTTCAGGGCTTTCTCCTCAGATTTCGTTAAGGGCAATTTGGTGGGGATTGGATAGCCCTCAGCAATCAGGGTCCTCTTCTCCTCCTCTGTCAGGACCAATGGGCCAGATCCCTGCAGTTTCTGAACAGACCAAGAAGCAGACAAGGGTCAAGGATGAATGACTGGGCATTTGAAGAATTACCTCTTGAAGTGGTGAGAACCTGTCACATGACTAATGGCTCTGGGTGAGAAAAGGTAAGAAACAGGTCCTCCATCATGTTAAGTGAAGCAAGTCAGGTTCAGAAAGATAAAGGTCGCATGTTTTCTCTCGTATGTGAAAGACAGATCCAAAAGATAAACATATACACAAAAACAAACATGATCATATACAAACGTACATGAAGAACATGTTTTAATAGTAGAACTACACTATGGAACTTGGGGAAGGAGTGAAAGGGAAAGGAATGATAGAGTGTCAAGACTGTAATAATATCTTAACAGTTTGAAGGGAGGGAATATAAAGATATGTATTGAAAGCTGTTGAAAAATGAGGGGCAGATGGAAAGGGGTAAGGGAAAGTAATGGGAGGGGTTAAACAGAACAAAGTAAAGTATACTCGCAGTAGGGATTCATTGAGAACACCTTTGAACATCGACTTAGATATTAATAATGAAAGTTAGGACTATAAAATAGGAACCATGTGGGGGAGGGACTACTTGTGGAAGGGAGAAGGGTGAATGGAAATTAAAGTGAGGGTATATGGTTGATGGACTTCATATACTTTTACAAATTAGAACAAAGAAACCTCTTACAATTGCTTTAAAGGGGCTGAGGGGGAAGAGATGGTGGGAGTGATCTAATCAATGTACATTGTAAGCCTATGTGGAATTGTTACAATAAATCCCACCTGTACAATGAATCTATCCTAATTTTTAAAAAATTAATGAATAATAAAAGTAAAAAAAAAAAAAAAAAAAAAAAAAGAAAGAACCGGGTTCTTTGTAGTGGAAACAGAGATGGATACTTTCACCCAAGGGTTCTAATTCAAGAAGAAGGATGAAGAGGCCTCCACCTATTGCTTCCCAGGAAGCTCCCCATTAGCTAATACTTCAAAGGTAAAAGTATAGAGTTCAAATCCAACATCCTGGAGACCTCCTGGCTGTGACTGGTGAAGGATTCCCTTGGAGCTGTGCAGTACACAAAAGCTTTGCTGCTCTCCTTCTGGAAATGTAATTTTATAGCATGCTCACTCCACACCAGGGTTGCTCCTTTCCTCCACTTATAGCTAAAAGGCTCAAAGTCCCAGAGAAACACTTGTAGACACTTTCATGGGAATCTCTGGCTGTCCATCAGCAATGCAGATGAGAACTGGGGCTCATCTCATTTAGCCCACAATGGAATGATGTACTGCTGAGTCACACAATGAACCACTGGTGTGTCTTCCCTCCATACCCAAAGCCACTGAGGACTGAAAACAAACCCTATCTCTCAAGTAGCTTCTGACTGAAAATATGAGACTGAACTGATACCCATGAAAGGATGAGAGTAATTCAATGCTAAACTGTTATTATTGCCTGAAGGAGCACTACGATTTTAAAGAAAGCAAACACATGAGTTAATGGGATAAGGAAAGGCTTGATATAGGCAATGAGACTTGAATCCAACTTTCTGAAAGAAAGAGAATGGCTTGCTTAAGAAAGAAGAGGGCATTCCAAGCAGCAGGCAGCAGTATACTCTGAAAAATAATTAAAGATGCGCTTCCTAGAGTGGAAGGAGCTCTTGAACCAGCAAAGGGCTGGGCACTTAACGCTGAGTATTGGTATTAGGGACTGAAGCCTACAGGCAGGTAATAGAAAAGCATAACACATGTTGATGGTCAAGAGTACAAAATGGAGATTTCCTCCATAAAAGTGTAGAAGGGATTGATCATGAAAGGACACACTGACATTAGGATAAAAGCTAGTACAGTAATTTAAGGAGTGAGAAGTCAAATCCTTCAAGTTGAAAAAGTAAAGAAAGAATGGAAATTTAATTCCTTTGTTCTCAGTATTGGTACTATGCAAGAATGTGACTATGGATCTAAAACTCTGAGGGACAAAATGAATCCAAATTTTCAAAATTATGCTGATCCGGAATTTTTAAATATTTCATTTAAATTTCTTAGGTGTGATATTATAAATTCAAAAAAATTGATTATAATTTTTAAGACTTCATAGAAATCAATTTACTCTTTAGAATAACAAAACAGTTTTTAAAAAAACTGTATTTATTTATTTATTATTCATCTGTGCATACAATGTTTGGGTCATTTCTCCTCCCCCCTCTCTTCCCCTCCCCCTTACCTCTTGCTACCCGGCAGAAACTATTTTGCCCTTATCTCTAATTTTGTTGAAGAGAGAGTATAAGCAATAATAGGAAGGAACAAGGGTTTTTGCTAGTTGAGATAAGACTAGCTATACAGGGAGTTGACCTGCATTGCTTTCCTGTACATGTGTGTTACCTTCTAAGTTAATTCTTCTTGAACTAACCTTTTCTCTACTTCTTGGTCCCCTTCTATTGGCCTTTGTCACTTTAAAGTGTCTGCTTTAGTTTCTCTGTGTTGAGGGCAACAAATGCTATCTAGTTTTTTAGGTGTCTTACCTATCCTCATATCTTCCTTGTGTGCTCTCGCTTTATCATGTGATCAAAGTCCAATCCCCTTGTTGTGTTTGCCCTTGATCTAATGTCCGCATATGAGGGAGAATATATGATTTTTGGTCTTTTGGGCCAGGATAACCTCACTCAGATAGAACAACAAATGTTATTCTCTCTCCTTCCTTTTCATATATGTGAGGGATGAGTGAGTGATGACTCATGATTTTTAATCTGAGTCCTGAGTTAGGTAAAAGTCAGCCCACACATTACAAAAAGGTTAAGCTATGTTTTTGAACTTTAGGCATCAAAAAATTTAATCTCAGAGAGATGTTTAAGTTCACCCACGATTGCTTATCTAAAATATGAAAAGCATTTCCTATTACATGTCATAAGAACCACCTAAATTAATGGTAAATATTTATGGTATAATTTTTAAGGAAAAAGAAAAATTCATTCTTACAGCTCTGTAAAATAAAGACAGGAATAAAAGTTGATTGTGTGTCTATGAAAAGGAAGAGAACGATAGTGGCAAGGTGAGACTTATTGGCAGTTGTTTAAAAATGTTATTTAGGGTTGTTGTTCCTCTCTTTAGTGCTATGTCTTGAATACAGTGTGTCCCCACCATACTCATGTTGAGGCTGGGTAGGAGGTGATTAGGCTATAAGGAGGAATAATGCCTTTCTCACGGGAGTGAGTTAGGTCTTCCAAGATTAGTTACCATGACAGTGGGCTGTTACAGAGCAGGTCAGCCTCCCCTCTGTCTCATTCTTGCACATATGATCCTTCTGCACCCTCCTGCTACCCCTACTTTTCCACCATGCATGGAACAGCATGTGGCCATCCCCAGAGGCTAAGCAGACGCCAGCACCTTGCTTTGAGACTCTCCTACCTCCAGAACTATGAGCCAAAATAAACCTTTTTATTATAATTTACCAAGTCTTGGATATCATAGCAACACATAACAGTCAAAGCCATTTAGCCATTAAATAGAAACCTCAATACAAAAGTAAAAAGGGCTCACATCTCTCCAGAAAGGTCCAACAAATACTTACATGAGGAGCTGTGAGGAGAGGAGAAGTGGACAGGGCGGAGGGGGCCCGGGGCACAGCTCTGGCAGGACTGTGGGTCTGAGGCAGGCCAAAGGGGTGCAGGCGTGGGTTGGGGCTCAGGCTGCCCTCAGAGTCACTGCTGTGACTGCTGGGAGGGGTTGGTGGTAAGTGCAGGTGGTCCACGGAGGCTGAAGGAAAGAAAGTGCATTTCATCCACCACAGAGAGGCAAAGCAGGACTTGGGGGCTGGTTAAACACACTATGTTCATCCACACGGGTAGCTGAGGACAGATGAACAGAGTGAGGACTCTCCATGAGGTGACCTGGCAAGATCACCAAGGTGCCTTGCTCAGTCAGGGACGGGGAGGGAGACCAGGTGCATGGCAGTGTATATAGTAGTCTCCTTTTGTGCAAGAAAGGAAAGAGAATGGATACTTGTTTGCTTGCCTTAGAATAATGAAACGCTGGAAGTAGACAGACACTAATAAAAGGGTGAGCCAGGGCAGGCAGGGGGAAATTTGGGGTGATTAGGATAAGCTGTTGACAAGATTTTTCACTGTATTCTTTTTTAGATAGCTGGATTTATAAAACATGTTAATGTAGAATGCACTTTAAAAAAAACCTTTTAAAAATGAGCAAACCTGAGAGCCTTTGTGGCCTCCTTGGAGAAAAGCTCCTTTGTTTCTACAGGAATGTGCCTAATAGGGCCCTTGGGCATCAGGCCAGGCATTCTTCATTCAGAAAATAATAAGCCCACCTTTAGATAGATGAGTAGACATGGGAAACATAAATGGGGGTACAAGGTGCCTTTTCCTCCAAAGCCTTTCCTCAAGGGCATGATGATAGGCCAGGAAGAACCCATCTGAGTTTCACCTAGACAAAGTTGCATTCAGGACTCCCTCCCTCTTTTTCTGAACACTGGATGAATAATATTTCGTTGTGCTGGCCACTGTTATCAGGGTAAGTGAGATAACTTTGGGAGCCCCTCACTCCACACCCCTGCTGGAGCCCCGGGACAACAGAGCCCTTAGTGCAGCAGCTTTGGGTGGGCAGAATGCCTGGGTGCCTGGACACAGCTAGGTGACTCAGCAGAGGAGTGCTTGAGGCCACTGTGAGGCCTTGGCACTTTTTCTCACCTTTCCCTTCCTGTTTTCAAATTGAAGCTGACCATGATGCTATTGATGGAAAAGAGCCTTTCTGAATCAAACTACTGACCTGAGAAAAAGGACCTGGCCCAAGGCTGCCTACGAGATGATGGGCATCAACGAGGCAGCCATTAATGTGATGTGAAAAGACCTCAATATCAGACGTCACAACAGGTGATATCCCTCTCAGCAGGTAGTCACCACCCTGCTTTCCCCACATCACCAGCACACTTCTCTCTCCCTTTCCTCCCTCTCTTCTCTCTTTTTTCAATATCCTACTTTTATTTTCTAGATGCCTTCTCTTTCCCTTTTTTCTCACCAAAGTCTTGCCAAAGAATTCCCTTGAAATTCTGTATGCCTGTAGAATTTCCCAAAGAATATTCTGTGATAATCCTATCTACTCAATTCCCAACACTTCTGCCAGCAGGTGCAGGCAGCCAAGGACGTAAGTGTGCACCTTAACTAGGCATGTGCTTAGCTAGAACACAGGTATTCTCTGAGTGTCAAGCAAGGTTTTCTCAATACTATGAACACATAGTACTTTATGATTAAAAAACAGTAACAACAACAAAAATCCAGAAAGCTGACTATGCTATAAGGGGCTCCAGCTTCCTGTCCCTCTGTGCTGTTACAGTTCCAATAACTAACAACAGTACCTGGAACTCCCCTGTGCCTCTCATTTGACACGGGCCAAGTTATTCTAATACTATGCTCTTTTCCAAGCAGGGGGTACCCCACAGAAGACAGAAACAGGATGATAGGAAGAGCCAGTGAAGCAAACTTGAACCTATCCTGTCCTCCCCAGTTATGGAAAGCTGCCCATCTGGCTAAGGTGCATCATCAGTATCTGATTTCTAATCACTTGAAATGCTGTTCTTGGATTACTGGAAGAGCTACAGACAGCAGACTACTCTGCCTAGAAACTCTGATGCATTCAAGGATATTCAATTCCTTTATCTCTCTTTATCCAGGATAATATTTTCTTGATTCTTGAAACATTTCTCCTCCAGTGACTCTGGATTCTGAAGCCACCATTGTAAGAGTCACAATACTTTCAGAACCCTTTTTTTTTTTTAAATCATAGCATAAATTTACAGAACAGAATGCATTGGATGGTAATAACTAGCACCATAATAATGAAAGGAATTGCTTCAAAGCACATTATAAAGCTGGAAGGCACTCATGTTTATCACTCAATGCCAAACAATGATGTCTCAATATAGAGGCTGGGCAATAATATTAATTTTAAAGTTTTAATACTTTCTTTACCCATGGTAAAGGCAAATAAAAAGCCAACTCTGACTAAAGGTCACAAATCAAATTCTGAGTTATTTCCTAAAGGAATGAAGCTAGTTTATACTTCCATGACAATTGTTCATATATAACATTTGCACATTTATATACTGTAGCACACATACCTTTTCTATGACTATTTATTCACTAATTTCTTGTTTGTTGACCACACAATGAACTATACTTCAAACACATATTGAAAGTGTAAATAAAAAGGGTGGTGATGTCACGAACAAAGGCAAAGAACCAACAAGAGCAGGATCTGTGCAGAAGCATGTGCATAGACAGGACACAGAGGGATCTCCTAGACTCCCCAAGGCTCAGGGGCTGTGTTCAGCAGCCCAGTGATGGATGTCACAGGAGAACAAACAGGGAGGTCAGAAAGAAACTAATGTCAAGAATGAAAACTTTAAGGATGACTTTAATTCTAAACAGATGGCAAGAATCCCCAAAAGACACATAATCAGAGGCCATGAACATCAATGGGAAGAGGGCTCCTTACAACTGTTTTCATACAAAGGCAACATTTAAGAACACTGCATTCTGAGCAGATAAAGTATGAATTCACTTTATAAAAGGTTGAAACTTGCGTTGTTTTAACTAAGCAAGTGCCACTTTGTACTGCTCTATATGTATGGGACTGTAGCAGGTTCACATCAGGAGGACAGAAGGACAGTGGGGTCTCATCTGTATCCACATCACAGTGGTCAATAAAGGATCTGAAAAACCCTACTGGCTAGGAGTCAAAGTGCACTAACATTGGGCTGGAAATTAGGCATGTGCATATAGAGGGAATAATATTTAGCTTTCAAAATGTTTATTTGGAATCAGATTTTTAAGAAGAGAGCTATTCCATAAAGCATGTGACACCTGTGGTGCCAAGAATCCAGCCTTCTTGCCCATGTTCTGCTCCTCTGCAGACTCAGACCACCTGGGGTAAAGGAAGGAACACTGGGCAAGTGCACTCACCTTCTTTAGGAGAGAAGTTTAGGAACTGATCCACTTCATGGGGCTCCAGCTTAATCCTAGGTATAATGGTCTCGGTGTGGCACGAAGAGTCAACCTGAAGGAAGAATTTCAAACATGAGTTTTAAAACCAGCCTTGAATAAAAAAGGAAGAGCTATCTGTCATCTATGTCTTTCTCTCTGGCCAGCCCTACCTCTTCAGTACAGCAGGGTGTAGGCTGCTTCTCTCCTAATTCTTAACCTTCTTCTCTCTGCCAAGCCTGGCATTATGGCTGATGGGACCTCAGAACTCTACAGTTAAAAGCCCAAGAATTCACTTATCATTGCTTCTTTCAGTTGTTTTTTTGTGGGAATTTAAAGGCATTTTATCACAAAATATTCTGGTAACATTTTACAGGATCACAGACTTCCAGTTTGTCCTGTGGTGGGAACTGTGTGTACCAAGCCACATTCTTTCTTTCCAGGCTCCTAACAACTGATGACATCTAACCATGAAATATCAGAGGGATGAATGGTTATCCTGCTCACACACAGAGAGAGGGGCCATGAACCTGAACTACATTAATTACATACATGCTTAAAAATCAAATAAACTAAAATCTTATGGAGCAAGGAACTAACTAATAGGTGTTCTGCCTACCATCCCACATCTACCTAATAAGGAGGCAGCAATGTGTTTGTGTTAACATTTCAGGGACAGGAGATGTGATTTGATGAATGCTGCCGGAGTCACTGTTTAAAACCTGAGGCTGTGAACTAAAAAAGCTAGGACCAGAAGATACATAAGCATGATTCTGGTCCACTGTCAGACATTAGAAATAACCTGAAAGAAAGTACAGTAGAATTAAATGCTGCTTGTTGTAGTCATAGATTTAAGCAAAGAAGAGATTTCTCATTTCTTATGCTTTCCACGGATATCCCAATATGAACCCGTAGTTAGCTGATTCCTGAATTGGGTAAGGGCAACTCAGCAGTGTATTAGGAAAGTAAAATATGACACATACACCAGTGCCCCATAGCCCCATGGCACCATAAGGCATGGATTATACCATCATGTTAACCACTCTCTTCCCACAGGCTTAAAAGTCAATGCCATGGGAATTTTTTTTTAGCATGAATATTCATCTGTATTTATAATTTTGTAACAGTGATCAAAGAAAAATGAAATAAATTTTGCTACTAATTTTTCTGGACAATGCCTTTGAAGGTTGTGATATAATCAATGCTGACACCAATCAGCATATTCTTCATATATTCAATGCACACATGCCTACACACATGCATGGCTATGCACCCTGAAATATTTACAGCTACTAAACGCCTTATTGGAGTATGAAGATCTATTATCTTTTGATCCAGTGTGGAAGAAAATTGAATATACCCCAGTATTCATTTCCAGGATGGGTTCTTCCTTTTCAAAAGGGGTGGAAATGGCTGTGATGGTCAAAGTGACAGAAGGAACAAGTCCTGGGGGTGGCTCCTCGGTGATCGGCTCTGTCTTGATGGTTGCTGAAGGAAAGTCCGTTGACAGGTACCACTTCTCACTTTCTACCTCCTCTGTGGGAAAAAGACAAGCACACATGGGACCTTGTTCAGGGTACCAGCATTAGTAAAACTAATGACCACTATCCTTCCTCCTAGAACAAAACTCAAACAAAGGATTATTGACAGGAGAATAAAAAGAGATAAAGTGAGTATGTGCAAGGAGATAAATGGATGAAGACATGAATGGTAAATAAGAAGCTATATTTATGTATGCCTGCATGGGAAATGCCTAAAGAGACTCTGGAAGGATTACACATGAAAGGAAGAAACCTGGCTTCCTGGGCGGAGCAAGAAAGAGGCTAAGTAGATGGGGAACAGAATGAGAAAGAGGATTTTCAATGTGTAATGACTTAGGCTTTTTGGTTTTCAAACCAAGTGAATGTGCTATCTACTCAAAAATAAATAAGCACAGTTAAAAATAAGAAAAGAGACAAATGGTTGGCAACCAAGGTGTTAGGACAAAGGACCTCTGCTTCACCCCAGCAGACAGTTATTTGTTGTTTTCTTTCTTTTTTTGTTTTTGTTTTTGGTCAGACTCTCTAGTTTTTATCTTGTTTTCCCACTCATGCCTTAAAACCAACCTAAATTTCCAGAGACTTTCTTTGGGGGGGAACTTCAGAGTTTGTAACAAGCATCTGCCCTTTACTGAAATGGACAGAACATTCAACCAAGGAAAGAGATGGGTCTTGTTGAGTCTGCATCTTGTCTTGTGAACAGGTTTTCATGATTATCACTGGGCCAGAGGAGAGACCAGCAGCAAGACAGTTCAGCTGGAGCACCTCTATCACCACATGTACATTCTTCTGGAAGCTTAAGCTCCACCAAATTACTTCAGGGCTAATATTTCAGCCCAGCCCTGGAAAAGCGGGGAGGCAACAGCAGAGGAAAGCCAAAGAGGCTGGAAAGAGAACAAGAAAAGACAGACAGTGGTTTCCAGAGTCCACATTCCTCACCTGATACCACTTTTACTAAAATCAGACATAAATAAAGCAAAGACCTGTTCCTCCACTTTGTGAAAATGTTTAAACACCTCCCCACCTGTCCAGGCACCCATTACTGGGGTGAGGTGGGTAGACAAAAGGTGTTCATATTATGAAATTGACTCAGTAATTTGACTCCAGTTTCCTTATTAAAAGGTACACGAAAATCTTTCAGAATTGTTCTGGGTAAAGGGAAGGGAGGGAACAGTAGCCCAAAGCTAAAGTTTACTCTGATTAAAATTACGTTTCATAAGCTACTTCCTTCAAACACAGAAAAGGTTAGGTTCCCATTCACAATGTGGTGTTTTGCTTTTAGATCGAATTCTATAAAGCTCTGAGCACATGGTGTGATGGGGGGATTTCTGTCATAGGGTGAGGGCAACACCCTGGCCAAAGAGGGGCTGAGAGGGAACAAAGGACCTTTTGATGGTGGCTAGAGGAGGGAGACCACACTGGGCTTGACACAGAATTCCGCTGGCCAGATGGGCGCCAAGCTCAGCTTAAGGAAGTATTTGGACCAGGGGCCGAAAACCAACTACCACCCCTCCATAAGGAGGTTAGGAACCAGAAGACTGTCCACAGCAAGGAAGACACACTTAGGGCAGAGTTCAGGAAGGAATGGAGAAGCACAGAGAACATAGACCATACTTCCTTCATTTAGCAGTGAAACGCTGATGCCTCTGCTTCTTGAAATCAACACTTACAGTCTGTAAAATTAAGCAATATTTATCCCCTGCAAGGCTGGAATTGAGATAGCAAGAAGAAATATCACTTCAGTGCATAATGAAAGGAACAGTAAGGGAGCATCCCTGAGAAAACAGTTCCATGCAATCACCAGGAAATTGTGAGATAAGGCCAGATCCCCCAATGATGCAATTAAGATGACTATGATCCAACTGAATGCACAAGACAAACAAAAACCAAAAAGAAATGTAAAAAGAAAATATGAAATTATAAGATCAAAATGAAGATAGGTAATGAAATCAGTTCTTCCAACCTAGCAAAACCATTCTCAGCGTGTACTCACATTTATAAAACAGGTCAGGACAGTATATGTTCTTAACATTCAGTCTCCTACAGTGCTATTTAAAAACATAAATGTAATCACTGCTCTATTGGAGAAAAAGGACTGCAGAGCAAGGGATGATAACTGAACTGCAAAAGGAAACCTCTCTCTCAAAGACTAAAGAAGTCTTCCAAGTGAGAAGTTCAAGTTCAGCTCTTCCATGTGAGAGGCAGCTGCCTCTACTTCCCTGAGCTTTTCTTTCTTTTCTTTTCTTTTGTGGCAATGCTGTTGATACTGTCATTTTACAGAAGACAAATCCTGATCACACTGCAAATGAGGAGCAGATCCCAGATTGCTAAGTTCCCCCAATATTCTCCCCATGATGTGAACAGTTTAACGTGTAGATAAAGATTCATGCTTAAATGTGCTCAGTCAGTCATTACTTATAATCACAAAACACTGAAAATAAACAAAACATTAAAGAATAAGAAAGGTTAAGTCAACTATAGTATAGCCAAACAGTGGAACATTTATGTAAAACATTAATATTACATTTTTAATATTTTTAATATTACATTTCCCTTTGTTACTTTAATAACAAAGGAAAGGTATGTAATATTAAGGAAAAAGTCTAGGTTAGAACAGCATTCCAATGGTAGTTTGTTCTTTGTCCCCAGTGGAAATAAATATCAAATCAGAAAATACAGTATGACAAATGTAACCTATGAAGCAGGGTGCTAACGAAGGGTGCAGTAGAGGAGTAGACATTACAGTTTATGCACACCTTGTTTTTGTAATTTAATTTTATTAGCATAAAGATTGGAAGGCCATCAAGGCTTAAAATTAGAACCATCCTTAGCTATTGGAGTAACTGGCTAAACTACAAAAGCAAGAGTCAGTAGGCACACTGTATTCTTTAATCCCCAAATCCCAAAACTCCAAGTTAAAAAAAAGTTTTTCCTGAATTGTGTTTACATACCTTTTAAGTTTCATTTCAGATGCAAAACATCACTCATTAATTTTAGCAGTGAATACTATGCAGTGTGAAAACAACCCCATATCATATGATTTAAACACTTCCTATCAAAGGCTAAACTCAAACAATATCTCCTCAGCCTCACCCTTAGCTATCAGCAAATAAATGAAAACAATCTACTGTCTCATGGTAGGGAATGAGTCCTTTACATCCAAGAGCAAAAATGAAGAAGCCATCAGCAATGTGGCTAGATACTAAGATTACCATAACATCAAGTGCCTGGGGAGAATAAAAAGAACAGAATCTCAAAGCCAATGCCATGGCAAAACCAAAATATAGACCACTGATCATTTCCATCCACACTGCTAGATACTGCCTGAAAAGATGCTGATTCCTAGGATAGAGAGAGTGAAAAAAAAAGAGTAAATCTTGAATTGAAATTGGCACTATGTCTGTCTATCTATCCATCCATCCATCTATACACACACATAATGTAGAAAAAGACAATGATATACATTCTTAAAGAGAGAAAGGACATGGTGCCAGTACAACCTATATGATAAAAGTTCATTATATATATATATAGATAGATAGACAGATAGATATAGATATAGATATATACACATACACATATATATATCCATTTATCATTTAAGAGATTTTGTAAATTAAAAATGTATGCTCCATCTAAATCCTTCAGAGTTTGACTTGTTTGCCCCTTGAATATTTTCAAATATTGACAAATCTTCACCAATTTTCCTATAAAAGTCTCTTAAAGAAAAAAAAATGCCATGGCTGGATTCTAGAAACCGGGAGGGGGTGGCAGGGCAAGAATTCTTTCAACTGGGTAGTGTCACACTGAATCTTCAGCCCAACACTTGCAAGAAGACTATCCATTGTCCCCTTCCTGAGTACCTTAAATTATGTATTTAATCCACATAAAGATGATAATAATAGCTAACACTTATTCAGTGCTTACAAATTGACAGGCACTGTTCTAAGTGCTCAATAAGTATTTACTCATTTCATCCCTTCAACAATGTCATGAGGTAAGTTTTATAAGTATTCTCATTTTAAACAGGAAAGTGAGATGCAAGAGTTAATCTACTCACCCAAGTTCACACTATTATTCATTGGCACAGCACATACTCAGATCCATACAGTTTGACTCTAGGGATTAACATTATTGTCCTTTTAACATCTCAGGTTCTCCTATGGGATACTATTTACAGCATGAACCAAATAAATATCTGGAAAAAAATGAATGATTTCTAAAGATTTGCTTAGTGCACACATATGCATAAAACTCATGGACATTTTCTTTTTCTTCATTGAAGATATAGCTCTCATTCATGAGTATTCAAAGTAATTTTAATACTAGATAGTGGTAAGCAATTCTTTCTTACACCATTCTAACATTTCAATGGCTAGGCAGACAATTTTATTGTATTTTTTTAAGGGAAGCATCATTCTTTTCAACTAGGTTCTTTCTTCAGCCTACTCAGGGCAGAGGACTCAGTTTGTATGTAGCTGTGGAACACATCTTCCTTTTCCTCCCCGGAACTTACCCCCTCTTAAGGTGACTCAAGAGATGCTTTTGTCACTAAATGTGATGAAGATACAGCTTTTCATCTCATCTCTGTGACTTCTTTTGGGTCCCACTTCCTGGTAATACGTCAACATCAAGATCCCTCCAACACTGCACAGCAGAAATCCAAGTCACCTATGACTCATTCTTACCATTTTCCCAGCACACTCTACCCTGTGCTAATCCTTTTGCTGGTGTCTCTAATCATTTCAAAATCCATGCTTTCTCTGTCATCCCTATTACACAACTTCCTGTTTCTCCCTGGATAACTGTATCTATATACATCTTCCCTACACTTGCAAGGTTAACCACAAGCCATTATTCTCTCCTTCAGTTCTCCAAAACACACCATACCCCTTTGCTGTGCCCTGCTTCCTATCCCAAAGTGATCAAACCCTGAGTCCTTGCCCTCCTCCAGCCTGTCCCATTTGCCTCAATGTGACTTCACAACAGTACCATCTG